GCCTCTCCTGAGTGCTGGGATTACAGGCATGCGTCACCACGCCCAGCATGGGTCCTTGTGCTTGCAAGGCAGGCAGCAGCACTACTGAGCTAAATCCCCAGCCCCCATCAATGAATTTCTTCATTTCTCAAATTTTCCTACACACCTATGTAATATTGTAATATAGTTATTTGAATATTTTCTGCAGACTGCACGAGGTACATACATTCCTATGCAAATTGTCACTGATACCTTGAAATACACATTTTAAATATAATACAATTAAATTCTCCTAGTCTAAAGAAGTATGAGCATATTTTAAATCTTTAAACAAAGGCACACTACCCTAGCAAAGCTGAGATACACCAGCTGCCACTATGGTCAGAAGAGGAAAGCAAAGGGAGACAGCAGCAATTACCTTTGCTGGAGGGAAACATTTGCTGCGTAAAAAGTTTTTAAGACAATAGGGTGAAGAGTATCTCATTCTGAAACACTGTCAGAATATCCATAGTGGATTTGATAAAAAAGAGCTGAAAGGGGAAGTACAGAGAATCGAGACGTGTCGTGTACATCCACCGACTCACTGTGACAAGTTACTACGTGCTGTCAATGTGTCCTTATAAAAATAAAATTTCAGAAAATGAGTTTGCTAGTCAAAAAGAGCCAGGTGTGGTGACGCACACCTGTGATTCTAGCACTCGGAAGGCCAGGACAGGGGAGGGTCACCATGAGTTCAAAGCCAGCCTGGACTACGTGGCAAGAGCCTGTCTCAAAAACAAACAAGCGAAAAAGTAAAAAAGAAAACAACAAATTTAATTGCCTACAATTGGAATTAAATGTTCAATGACTTTTAATTTTTCAATTAAATGTTTAATACATTTAAATATTTTAAATATACAAATCTGCACTTACAAATTTGTCTATCTAAACCAGATGTGACAGCAGACACCTATAATCCCAGCACTCTGGGAGGCTGAGGCAACTGATAGAAAGTTCAAGCCCAGCCTGGGCAACTTAGTGACTTAGCAAAACACCTTGTCTCCAAGTACAAAATAAAAATGCCGGGAATTTAGCTCAGTGGTTCCACCACCTGCCTCACAAGTGCGAGGTCCCGAGTTCGATCCCCAGTACCAATAAGTAAGTAAGTAAATAAATAAATAACTAGGGCTCAGTGCAAAGCCTTCAATTCCCAGTATTGTGAAATAAAGAAATAAAAATGAAAATTTGGCTGCTATAAAGAGCTGGGGTTTTTTGCACAGAAGAAAAACACTCTTAGAAGAAGTGGCTAAAAAAAAAAGGGGTTATTTTTTTGGAGATGGACTATTGTTAGAAAATTCTGAGGACGACTCTAAGAAAGTCATCTCACAAAAACTGAAAGCTCTTCCATTCAACTGCTGCATAATTGTCCATAAAATCAAGGCCTTTCTAACAATAGCAGAAGGCCGATCAATAGAAGTGAAAAATTGCAAGTACTTTTCCTTCACTGTAGAAAAGCCAAACGATATAATAGACACTGCCTAACTAACACTGCAGGTACATTTTGTCTCAGAGGACTTCCGATTGAAGAAGAAATATTGTCGGTTCGTGGCCTAAAAAGAATCTAACACGTGACACAGATACTTTTTAATCTTTCACATCCGCTACAGTAAGATTCTAGCCAGATAAGAAAAAAAGTTTCCAAAAATGTTCGTGCTATTATGCTAGGTCAAAAAGTCGGATCACTTATTTTCAAATACAATGCTGTTTTCCTTAGTGCTTTTTTCCATTGTATCACACATTTGGAAAGTGTTTATGCTTAGCTCTCCGCAGCAGACTTAGGGAAAGCAGCAGCCATCACAGCCGTTCATTACACAGGCTCAGATACCACACTCAGCTCCAGTTTGTGGGAGCGTGGAAAGAAACAGAAGATGGCTTTAATGACCTCTCCTTTGCCACTGTTGTCTGAGCCACAGAGGGTTATACAAAGGCTTACTGTATTACAACGCCCAGGTTTTCTCAAAACAAAGGGAACGGTTGCCAAATATTCAAAATTAAAGACAGAAAATGGCTTTTGCTTTCTCATCGCGATCCTACTACAGCTACATTGGGTTTTTTATTTTTAATTTCATTGGTACATGTTGGCAGCACACGATGATTACACTTCTTGTGGGGAGATGTATGCGTACCCAACACATCTTTTTTTTCATCCTCTCCCTCCAACTCTTGGCCCCTTTCCCTTTTGTAAAAGATCTATCTCCCATGGGCCAGGGATTTGGCTCAGTGGTGCTGCCGCCTGCTTCACAAATGCAAGGACCCGAGTTCTGTCCCCAGTACCAGAAAAAAAAAATCTATCTCCCACCCCCGCCAGGGATTTGGCTCAGTGATTCCACCACCTCCCTCACAAGTGCAAGGTCCTGAGTTCAACTCTGGTACCAAAAAGATCTATTTCCTATTACCTATCTCTTATTTGAGACTCCAAGGTGAGGAAAAATTATTTATGACAGAGCTAGACAGGTACTTGAAATTCTTGCAATGGAAACTTTAATTTTTATTTCTGCTATACAGGGGTGCATTCCCAGCCCTTGTTTTTATTTTTTATTTTGAGACAGAGACTAACTAAATTGCTAAGTTGTCCAGGCTGGGCTCAAACTTTTGATCTTCCCAGCTCCACCTCCTCAAGTGATGGGATGACAAGCATGCACCATCAAGTCCAGCTAGGAAACTTTTAAAATGCTAATGATGGTGAATTCAAACTACTTTTCCTAACAGGAATCGATATGCCAATTATTGTAGTTGTAATTCACAGGTTGCAGGTCAGCTGCAAAGACAGAACAAGGTGTAGGAAGGAGTCTTTGATGCCACTGATCATTCTGACCTGCTTTTCAATTGTGCGTTTTGCTTCTTCCCCAGCCCAGGGGTCAGTGAATTTTCTCAACTTGGACAGAGGTAAGACTGCGCTGAGCCCGCTGGGGCTTGCTTTTGTAATAAAGATTTAAAAAAAACTTGGACAGAGGCAGTTTTGAAATCAACTCTAGGCAAGATAAACAGGTTTGCCAATGTTGATACCAATATTAAGGGAAATGAATTTTGGTCCTCCTTTGCTTAGCAGAAAACATTTCTGTATATTTGAAACATCTTTCGGATGCGAATCTACTTGTTCAACTGTTTCATGAAGCGTAATACAGATGAAGTCTTTCAATGAAAATCTTGTTTTGATCAAGATGTGATATAAGTTAAAACTACTAGGTTTCCCAGACTTCATATGAAAAATGTATATAAAATATAGCATTAATAATTATTTATATGTTGAAATTATATTTGGGGTATATTATATATATTTTTTTGCAGTATTGGGAATTAAAGCCAGGATCTTTGCACTGATCTACACCCCAGCCTTTTGAAAAAACTTTTCACTTTGAAACAGGCTCTCTCTAAATCATTAAGTTGCCCAGACTGCACGTGAACTTGCAATCTTCCTGCCTCAGCCTTCCAGAGTACTGGAATGACAGGCACGAGCCTAAAAATAAAGGTCATTATTCAAATTATTTTCATCTTTTTAAAATGTAGATACTAGACAATTTTTAAGCCACACCTTGGATTGCTCAAGTGAAGAATGTAACTGCCGTGATATATCAAAGGTGATAGGAGCTTTGCCTTAGTCGTTCTTGCTTTTCCCAGAGCCTAAAACCAGTGCCAGGCACATACAGCATACTCGGGACATAGCGACTAAACAAGCCAGTCCACAGCGCACTCAGTACAGCATTTGGTCTGTTACAGACTGAATATCCACCTTGGATCCTGAAAAGCCTGTTGCCGAGGACTGGTGATTTAGAACGCATTTGGTCCTGGGTTTAATATCCTGCTGGAGGAAAAGAAGAGAAATAAAGAGAGAGAGGGAGGGAGGGAGGGACAGAGAACGAGAGTCAGGCAGGCAGGGAGGGAGGGAGGAAGGGGGAACGTATGAAGCAGTCCCTACAGTAGGGAGCCCGACAATAAAGAAGCCTTGGCATCTGTCTGCTTGGTCATTCAAGCACCTTCTCCCTCTAGCCAATCCCATGCTGCCCCGCAGCCTGAAACATCCACCGTATGTTGTGCACTTGGTGTAGTTTCGTCTCTAGCTGTGGCCCGTCCCCCAGGTGCCAGATGAAATCTATCCACCTGCCCCCTTGGTGCTGCCACCAAAGGATATCTAGCAGGCCTCCTCCACTTGCCTTAGCCGAAGCACGCCGCCTGAGCCCTCTCTCCAGCTCCCCACGCCTCCACCATGGTGCCCTGAGTCTTGCCCAGCTTACAAGATGGCGCTGCTCAGGCCAAGACCTGGAATCGCCCTGGCTTCCTCTCTCTCAGCACTGCTCACTTGCTAACTAGCTCATGAGGCTCCTCTCTCCACCCCCGTGAGGCTGTGTGGATCTCCCGGCTCTCTCACACCCTCCCTCGGGAACCTCCTAGCCGGTGTCCTCCCTTCATTCCCCACAAGTTTTTCCCTTTTTCTTGGTGGTACTAGGGATTGAACCCAGGGCTTTCACACTGACCTACATCTCCAGTCCCTTTTTGTTTTATATTTTGAGATGGGGTCTTGCTAAATCTGTAAGTTGCCCAACCTGGGCTTGAACGTATGATCCTCCTGCCTCATTGTCCAGAGTGCTGGGATTACAGGCACGCACCACCAAGGCCAGCCAGATCACTTTTCTTTTAAATGTAAATCAAAACACGGGAAGAAGAGGGAAACTGGCTTCACGCTCTCCTCCCTAGCGGGTGTGTTTTCTGCTGCCATCATTATGAACATCCGACTGGAGGTTCTTCAGCCTTTCAGGGACTCTCCAGGGCCCTGTGGACCTTCGGCCTCTCCCTGGGGCTGCAGCATTGGCCTCACTTTCATGATGAGACTTCCTGCTTCCTGGACTGAGCAACTTCCAGTTTCCCAGCTCTGCAGCCTGCAGGCCCTGTCACGAGACTTTCCACTCTCTGTGAGCGTGTGAGCCAATCTGTCTCCCATTGAAATCATTTTGTGCCACTTGTCCCCTCTCAGGTCACTCCTCTTCTGGGTCTTCACCTGTTTGGCATCTTTGTGTCACCTCAAGTTAGTCAAGTCACCTGCCCAGAAAGGCTGACACGTCAAGCAAGGGGCTGAGGTATAGCTCAGTGGTGGAGAGCTTGCTTAGCCAGTGCAAGGCCCTGGGTTCAATTCCCGGCACTGCCACCACAAAAGCAAAAGTTGGACAAAAGAAGTCAGAAGCCAAAGAGCACATACAGTGGCTCTATTCATGCAAAACGCCAAGGACACAATTAATCTATGGTGTAAGAAATGTGGTAGACATCAGGATAGCGGTCAGTTATCTCTGGTGTCAGGGGCAGACCCGAGGGTTGTGAGGGGTCTTCCTTCAGTGAGGAAGTCATTCTGTCTTGATTGGAATTTGGGATACACAGATTTATGTATTTGCCAAAACTTACCACGTTGTATGCTGCACATCTGCCTGATTCCCTGTATGTGATTAGAAGACGAAACACTATTCTTGAAAGTTGTATGGCCAACTTTGTAGTATCAATTGCTTCGGAATGAAACCTGTTTGAACTGGCTCCAGTTTAGAGAATATTTTGGAATTCCAGATAGTCTCTCATTTTAGACTATCTACCAAAGCTTCTTTAGTGTTCCTGGGTTGTTTGGCCCTATTTATCACTGTATAAAAATAATATTTACTGTGAATCTGTTGAGGGCAGGGTCCTTCTGGTTTGGATGTTTTGGCTTGGTCTGTTTTTTTGTTGCAAAGTAAACTTGGCCTCACATTCATGTTCCTGGAGAGTGTTTTCAACAGACTAAGTTTCAATCAAGGAATCAGTGATGTCACAGGTAAACTGGTCATATCAGACCTCTAACCAGCATTCGCCAATGTGAGCGTCTCCAAAAGGTGATCATCTTCCAAGCACCTCTTTGTTTGGGCCAAAGAAATGAGTCTGTGTTTCCCAGTGGTGACCGCACTTCATCACTTCACCCAGCTCATCTGAATCCAACACGGCAGAACAGTCCGCAGGCTCCCTCACCTCTGCCCACCAGAAGAAAGCAAATGCCACGTGCACAGTAGCCCACCTTCTAGACTGGCTCAGGGGAGTCAAGTGACTGGTATGAATGTGTCGGGCCTGGAGGTCTCTGTTCCTCCATCCTGGGCAGGGGGTGTGCATTGTTCCAGGCCCAGAAGGATATTCTAAGTGGAGACCAAGAATCTTCTCCAACAAGGACTGCACCCTACAGGAAGAGCAGAAGATGCTTGTTAGGACTTCCCTGTGTGTGACATTAAGCCCTGAGTTCCAAACCACCGTTTGATCTTCACTGGGTTAAAAAGAACCCATTCCTGCCTTCCCTCAGCGTCCCCTAGAAGATGAGCTGTCTTAGACTCTCGGAACCTGGCTGCTGGGTGGGCGTGCGCTTATGACAGCTTCCTGTCTTTCTTTCTTTCTTTTTTTGTTGTTGTTCTTTCCTTTGTTTGTTTGTTTTTATTTTTTGAGACAGGGTCTCACTATGTAGTTGAGACTGACCTGGAACTCACTATGTAGCCCAGGCTGGTCTCGAACTCACAGCGATCCTCCTGCCTCAGCCTCCCGAGTGCTGGGATTACAGGCGTGTGCCACCTTGCTTGGCCTCTTTCTTTCTTTCTTTCACTGGGTGTTAAACCGAGGGCCTCCACCCCGAGCTCCATCTCCAGCCCCTTTTTATATTTTAAGACAGGGTCTCGCTGTCACTAAATTGCACACAGAGCCTTCTGGGGGAGAGAAGGAGCCAGGCAGGGCCAGGAAGGCAGGGCACCTCTGTCGCCTCATGAGGTTTGGACAATTTCCGAGTCCTCTGCGTGTTCAGAATGCTCCACTCCTGTTCAAAGATAAAAAGCTTTTTTGTTTGGTTTTTTGTACCAGGGGTCAAAGACAAAAAGCTATAAATAATCGAAATGGCCCAGGCCCTCACTGCCTTCTATTTCTGTCCCAGCACCACCCCAGGAGGCTGTGAGCAGGGTTATGAAAGCCTCAGTTTCCTCCTCTGGAAAGCAGGAATAATAGCACTTTCAGGTTTATTGTAAGAACTAAGAGCACGCACATGACCTCAGCCAATGTCTTGCATTTACTAAGCGTGTGTGTTAGTAACTAGATCCCATAGTATGGGTGATTAGTTTAACTAGATCATTTGATTTGGCCTGGTGATTTAATTAACTAGAGGTGAAATGGCACTCCCTGAGTTCCTGGACCAGGAATAGGCCTCTCTGGTCTCGCTGGGATGCAACCAGGCCTATGGCAGTCTCTGGAAAGACCACTTATTCACAAGGGGAACTTCTTGTGCCAAGGAGCCTACAATAGAGGTAAGGAGGCAAAAAAAAAAAAATTGCTAGGATTGTCTTATTTTAAACTATTCAAAGAGATCTGGACTGGAGACTAAGGATTCAAATTTATTTTAAGAGGAGGAAATAATCCAATAAGAGGAAATTGCAGGGAGCAGATTTTGCCTAATAAGAAAGGGTAGTCTGTCTGTTGTCTCTCAGAACTTTCTAAGAACAGGGGTCTGTCTCTGGAAGTAGTGAGCTCCCTGTCATTGGAGGTGACCAACTGAAGACTGGATAAGCCCTTGGCAGGAGTGCTCACATCCTGCATCTGTGCATTGTTCTACAGCTTCATACCCATATGGGAGGTGTGGAGGGAGTTTGCTGCTCTTGTCTTCTCCTTACAGATGAGCAGACTGAGGCTGGGGAATTTGTTCTTCGCAACACGCTGCCCAGGTGGGACGTGGGACCGGACCTCCAGTCTTTAACCTCAGAGGCCAGTGCCCAGATCACTCAGCCTTGGTGTCAGCCTTGGTGACAGCAGAATCCACCGTCCTTGCCCATCCCAGGAGCACTGGGAACCCCTTAGAATGGATTCCTGGGCCAGACCCTCTGGGCCAAAACCTTCAGAGAAGGGACAAATGTGTAAAATTTTTAAATCCCCATAACTGGAGCCAGGCATGATGCTGTACACCAGCCATCACAGTACTCTGGGAGGCTGAGGCAGGAGGATTGCAAATTCAACCCATCCTAGGTAACCTAGATTCTGTCTCAAAAATTAAAAGGGCCTGGAGATGTAACTCAGAGTAGAGGCCTTGGGTTCAGTCCATAGTGTTAGGTGAAGCAGGTGAGGGTCCTGCAGTTGGATGGTAATCATCACACTAAGGAAAGTGTTGGCCCAGGGATGACTCAGAGGCCAGTAGTGGGAAAGTGTGGGGAGGCAAGGATGGGGCACATTGGCCCTGCCCCTGCTGTGCACATGGGGCTCATTCATAAAAAGCTGAAGCGCCCCTGCTGTGCTCTGGAATCTGAGGCGGGCTCTAGGTCTCTGCCACTTTCTCTAACCTAAAATGACCCAAGCCAAGTGGGCAGACTTGGGGTGATTTCTGTGTCCCACCTTCTCAGGGCTGAGCCCTGGTGCCCAGCAGGTTTAGGGGACACAGCTGTGAATGCAGCACCCAGGGCCTTATCCTGGCAGAGTCCAAGCTTTCCCTGCTGCTCCCACATGCCCATCACTGGGCCAGTGTGGAGGAAGCCAGCTGCTCCAGTGTCCCCAGGGCCACCAGCTTCCTGGTGGACCTGGTGGACCCAGATACTTTAACTCCAGGCCAGGCTCACAAGAGGGACACAGCTGCTGGCTGCAGATGTGTGAGCAGACCCACCCTGGCCTCAGGAAGCTGAAGTGATGACTGACACCTCTGTCCCCTCTGGCCACTGTCACCTGGCTCTAGGCTCTGTGGGAGCTGCTCCCCGGGATGGAGCTGCAATGCCAGGGCAGAGCCTGGCGCCTCCAGCCCAGTAATGACCGGACAGGGCTGGCCAGGAGCCCCGGGTTCCCTGACCTGATTACAGCGGAGAGCCCGGGCCTCTGCAGAGCTGGAAAACCCGGCTGGGCTGTGTTCCTGTCACTGAACAAACCACAGTCTCAAAGCAGAGCGAATGTACCTCAAATTCCCCAGCCAACTCACCGGAGGGAGGGGACCTCTTAGAATCCCCACTTCTATTTACTTCTGTTTCCGTTCTTTAAAAATTATATTTTCTTTATGTTTTATAATGTACCTACTTCATTGCCGAGTAGTCAGAATGATAGGTAATGTTACATCTTTGGTACCGGGGATTGAACTCCAGTCCTGCTGCTTGCAAGGCAGGCGGCGGCACCACTGAGCTAAATCCCCAGCCCAATGATAGGTAATGTTAATGAGCACTCATTCCATGCCCGGCAATGTTGTTAGAGCTTGCATATAACATTTCACTTTACTTCTACCGTAACCCTGAGTAGGGTTATTATTTCTACTTTACAGGCACAGAAGGGTCAAGTGATCTCTCCAATATCACACAGCAGGCAAGTGGCAAAGGTAGGGTTTGAACCTCACAATCTGGCTACAGAGTAAATTCGTAACTATAAAGTATTCTGTCTGTTGTAAATAACTATAGCTTATTATGATTTGTGGATAGTAACTCTCTATTCCTTTGTTAGCTGTGTTCTTCTGGTTATATTACAATGGCAAGAACCTACCTTCCACTGGCTACATTTCAGAATATCAAACATCTTCAGTACACGGGGCCGTTCTCACCTTATTCCTGACTTAAATGAGAATGCTTCTATTGTTTCACCACAGATGTGATATTTGGTGTAGGCTTCGGGCAAGATATCGTGTATCGAGTTCACATAGGTTCTTTCTCTTCAGGACCAGCTGGGGGTTTTGGTTTTTGGTGTTGTTGTTTCCAGTGCTGGGGATTGAACTCAGGACCTTGACCTTTCGAGGCACACACGGCACTGCTGACCTAGATCCCCAGCCCTAGAACTTGCTGTTGTTTTTTTAAATCAGATATTGGTATTAATTTTAACTGAACATCTTTCCAGTATTTATTCAGATGAGCATAAATTTTGTTTTCCATAAATTTCTAACTGCACATAATTTTAATAGATATTTTAATATTAAGTATCCGAGAAGCTTTGGAATCAGCTCTACTTTTCTTTTTCACTACATAAAGGATTCATTTTATTGTGTTTTATCTAAGATATTTGCATCTTTGCTAGTAAATATATAAGCCTAGTTTTCTCTCTCATTTTTCTTTGTGCTCTCAAAATTGTTTTAGCACATTATCGAGTCATGTTGACCAACTAAAGTGAGTTGAAAAGTCATTTGTTTTTCTCTGTGCTCCGAATACAATTTATAACATATGAAACATCTCTAAAGATTTTATAACTTCACTCTAAAATACTCTGGTTTTAGTATCTTTTTATCAGACTACCCAGAGAGGAAAAGTGATTTTTTAGTATTTTCTAATTTGTTCAAGAATTATTCAACTATTCAGGGTTTCTGTTCCTTCAGTTAATTTTTAAATTTTCCTGGAAAATTGGCTATTTAATCTTTTTTATGCCTTTATTGAAATTCAGTTCACATGCAATGCAGTCCACTTGTTTTATTGGTACAGTTCAATGGTTTCTGGAATATTCATAGATTTGCAAAACTATTGAGCCGGGTGTGGTGGTGCATGCCTATAATCCCAGCACTTGGAGGCTGAGGCAGGAGGATCGCTGTGAGCTCAAGACCAGCCTGGGCTACATAGTGAGTTCCAGGTCAGCCTCAACTACATAGTGAGACCCTGTCTCAAAAAAACAAAGCAAAACTATCCATTTTGGGATATTTTCATCGCCCTGCAGGAAACTCTCATTGTCAGTCACCACACTTCCCTGTTTCTCCATCCACAGCTTGAGTGAGCACTGCCTATGTAGTCTCTGTGTTCGAATAGAGATAGTTTTGCTGCTTCAACCCCATTTTGGATGTTTTTCTTTCTTTTTCTTGATTAATTGCTATGGCTAGAATCTCCAGGACAGAGCTGAACACAAGCAGCAGACACAGCCATCTTTTTTTTCATTCCTGAGTTTGGGAGAAACCTCCCAGCCCCACCCTTAAGTCTGACACCAGCCGCTGGTCTTTCATAGTTGCCCTTTCTCAGGATGAAGAAGGTTCTGTTGTAATCTTATTCTGTTGAATGCTGTTAGCATGAAACACTGTCAGATCTTGTCCATGAAACACTGGTAGCTCTGTTTGCTTCTACTGAGATGATCATTTCTTTCCGTTATCCTCTACTATACTGGTTGACTTTTATCTGTTGAGCTCACCTTCCATTCCTGACGTGAATCCCACCTAGGCTCACGGTCCCTTCAATTTCCTGCTGTGCTCGGTCCCCCGAGGCCTTCGCATCCGTTAGCCCCGCCTACCCCTCTGGTCAAAGTGCCCCCCCCCAGCAGAAGCTCTCAGCTGAAATCTCTGAGTTTCAGCTCCGTTTGCTTCCAGATCCTGGCTGATACAGAGTCAGTGCACACGGGGATTTTCACTGAAAAGTTCTTTTAATAACAGAATGCTGGAATCACCCTAATAACCCCGGAGCAGGAAGGTAGGGGCATAAATGCGCCCACACTGTATTAATGGAACACAATTCCAGTGTTAATAAAGGACAGGCAGCTTAAAAAGGACTGATGGAGGATGTCCTCTAAGACTTATTATTAAATGAAGAAAGAAGAGTTTGTATCATAAACTCTCATTTCTGGATCAAAAATGCTTATTTGTATGTCTAAACATAAATATCTCTGCAACAATATACAAAAATGCGGCAATTTTTCTTGATTCTTTTTGCTTTATTTGAATTTTGTTTCCTCGTGCAGATATATATGTCTATATAGATATAGATATATATATTAAAAATTCTCTTAAACGTCTTTTAACGAAAATCCTTTGTTAGAGGCAGAACCACCTTTTAGTCGCGTCTCACTCCAGCCCTCCTCCCATTTCACTCTCTCTTTCTTTTCTTTTTCCAGTACCAGGGATGGAACTCAGGACCTTGAGCTTCCCAGGAAGGTGCGGTGCCACTGAGCTAAATCCCGGGCCCCACCCATTTCTCTCTTAACAACACACTGTCAGCAAAACCCAACCCCTCCGGCAGTGAAGCCGGGCTTCAAAGGAAGAGACAAAGCTTGGTCAGGCATTGTGACCTTCGCCACAGGCCCGTGAAGCTCCCTCTGCACCGCAGAGATCGGTCTCTTCAAGTCTGTCGAGGACGCACTGCCCACACCTCTCCCCACACAACCCTGCCCTGAGCGAGCATCAACTTGATCTGCAGCTTCTGGCTCAGATAAATTCCGGTCACCAGCAGTCAGTGACTGAGGCCAAGCTCTTTCCAAAACAGCTACAGGGCCCCCAAGCCATCACCCCACCAAACATTGTGGAAACTAAGGCTTCAGCGTCACCTTCAGCCATAGCAAAGGCGTAGGGATTTTTCTTCCTGTCTTGGTTTAATGAAGACTGCCCACCTCATCATGTTGTGCTTTCTGCTTTGGCTGACAGGAAGCTCATTCATGAATTTACTTCCTGAGCTGAAAATCTTAGCGTTACACTGTAGCACTCACATTGTCACCCTATTCACTATTCAATTTTCATTCTCCTTCAGACCTAATTTATTTTTGTTCTTTTTTGTTACTGGGGAGAAGTCATGACAGGATCATGCTACTAACCTAGGCTGGCCTCAAACTCATGGTGAGCCTCGTGCCTCAACCTCCCGAGTGCTGGAGTTATAGGTGTATAGCATCACTTCCAGCTCTATTTTTTTTTTTTTTTTTTTTTTTTTGGAAAAAAATTTTTTTTTTTTTTTTTTTTTTTTTACTTGAGATGGGGCCTCACTCTGCAATCCAGACGGGCCTTGAACTCGCAGTCTTCCTGCCTCAGCCTCCCAAAGGTTGGAATTACAGGCATGTAGCACCATGCCTATTCATGTTCTTCTAAAAATCACTCTATAGTAGCTCAGTGCTGGAGCACATCCTCAGCAGGTGACAACAGATGAGAAAAAGTGCTGAGCATGTGGCACACGACTGTAATCCCAACACCGGAAGGCTGAGGCAGAAGGGTCCCTGAGTTCAAGGTCAGCCTGGTTTACTAGTACTAGTGAGTTCAAGACCAGCCTGAACTACACTTGTAAGACCTTGTCTGGGGTGGCAGGGGTAGGGGGGACTAGCGTGGTTCAAGAAGACTCATCTCACACAGGAACCCACAAGCCTGGAGGCTACAGGACCAAGGTCTCAGACACAGAGCCAGCTTCTGAGCTAATCTAGGACCCAGGACAAGTGAGCCTGGACAGAAGCCTGGGCTGCGATGTCACAGGGGCAAGGGCAAAGCCCGTAAACCGGAGGGATGCGGCTGCCTCATAACAGGACACCCTCTGTCCTGGATTCCTCAGGATCCCAGGGGCTCCAGTGTCTGGCCACTTTCGTGGTCAAACAGGGTAAGTCCTGGGCACACTGGACCGAGTTGGTCAACCACATATAAGACTCTGCGGTTTCCGGACAAGATTAACATTGCCTGGGGAAGTGCGCCCCAAGATTCCTCCCTGACTTTTGCTTTCCAAGCCAGGGTCTCATCGAGGCACAAAAAAGTAGCCTTGTTACTTCCATGACATTTTTGTTTTTGAACGAAATTGGCATTATCTCAATGAAATCTGAAAGAACGTCATGTCTGTTCAAAAACACACCCACTCTTCAAAGGAAGAAGATTCTTTTGCTTTCCACCAATGCGGAAAACTCCAAGAATGGGCTTCGAATTAGGAAAGCAATTCCCAAAAAGATGTTGCCAAGTGTTGGGCAAAGCCCTGAGAATATCAAAGTGGCTGTTCTGCATGGATTGCTCCTTTCAATGCCCATCTCTGGAGATGTATATATATATATATATATATTCAGCTTTATTACCTTATAAGTATGTAATAGGCCTGAAAAGGCCTTCGAGTCGCATTGCCACTAGAAATAAGCCACCAGCCCAGCCACTCCGCAGCCGCCCAGTGAACTCTGATACTTTAATGCACATGCGCATTTCAACTTCTGCCATGATGGAGAGAGAGCAGAGCCCCTGCCTGAAGCAGCCACAGGGAGCCAGCGCTCTGACTAAATTCATTAATTGTGACTAGTTCTCCGAGTGCAAAGCCAATTATCTGGATATTTTTACAAGCCAGGCCATAGATCTTGATGGAGACAGTGAATCACAGGTGTACGAAAACCTTCGGGCATTCGCATTTCCACAGACCTTGCATCTCAAAGCAGAGATTTAGACTAGAGCAGCACTTTCTTATCCCACAGCCTGTAATTAATGACAACGCAAGAAGTCAGTGCGCGCTGTCTCTCATTACAGGCGTACGAAGAGGACCTCGCGCCTTTGAATACTAATTTACCTTCCTTGATACCACGGACGCCCATTTGGTGTTGGCCGTAAATGCCTCATGGAGTAATCGAGAGAGCTCGTGAGAAAGCTACCGCGGGGAGCCTCAGCCAGGCAAATCCTCCTGTTTCACCTTCCAGTCCCAGAGGGTAGCTACCGACCGAGCGCTCGCTGTGTGCCAGGGACAATTCCAACAGTTCCACTTTTGTTGCTTCGTTGGTTCTCCATTAAAATCCGGTGAGTAGACTCTGGGTTTTTATCCTCATTTCTGCAGAGGAGGAAACTGAGGCACAGAGAAAGTGGGCAGCATGGCCAAGGCATTCATTTGTCTGAACAGAAGTCAAGGTCAGACTGCAGGGTCTCTGGGTTTGGAGGCCTTGGGTCTCCGGGGAGGCGGCCCTGGTCTTTTTCAGGGATTCTAGTCCTCTCTGGGCGCTCCGCCTCTGTCCATCTGCCTCACTGGCCTTTCAAGCCTCCCTTAACTCAACGCTGTCCCAAGTGGATGCATCGCTCCGGCCGGCAGCCCCGCTGTCCTAGGTCGCTCGTGCTTGGGTCGCCCAGAGCCTGTGTCATCCGCGCAGTCTCCTCCTGAGGCTCAGTCTCGTGGTCTCTGCCTCAACCCCACAGCTGTCGCCCTCCCGCTGTGATGGCCGCAGGGACCCACAGAAGGTGCCCATCCCCAGTGTCTTCGCCCAGCTCGGCTGCAGCTGCCCTTTGCCTGGCCATTCCTTCCAAAGGGGCTCTGCTGGGTGAGTGCCTTGGCCGTGGCACAGGGCTTCCCCACGCCTGGTGTCCAAAGCCACTGCTCCCCTGTAGCAATCGATGTGGCTTCCGGCTCAGAAAAGTTCCACACACACCTCACACAAACACCCTTTGAGTGTGGAACTGCGAAGAAACTGCTCACTGTGGCTTTCAAGGCCCTTCCGGGGCTTGGTCTGAAGCAACCTTCCCGAGAGCTTCCCCACAGCGAATGCCTTTGACACGTTCTCAGTGCAGAAAGAAATGCAGAGACTGAAAAAGATTAGACGTGGCAAGGCGTGGTGGTGCATACCTGTAATGCCAGCTACCAGGAGCATCGTGAGTTCAAGTCCAGCCGCTTAGCATGACCGTATCTCAAGATGAAAACTTGTAAAAGGGCTGGAGGTACAACTCAGGGACAGATGCTCTAGGGTTCAATCCCCAGTACTGCAAGGACAAAGTGAAGCTTGTTAACTGGCATGGCTATTACTCTGCCCCAACACAAAGCCATCTGCAACCAAACTTTGGAATTATTTGTCCTCCCAGTGAAGAAACGCACCTTGAAGGCTATTCTCTGACCCTGTAAGAGGCTCAGGAAGTGGATTCCCAAGCCGAGTCTCACTTCCCTTACTTTTTCCCCCCGAATGATTTCTTAGTTTGCCACAAAGTGAACTGTCTCCAAGTATTTACTAGGTGGCACTATCCCAAAACTCTTGGCAGGGTCCCTGCACGGACAGCTTCCTGCATGCACCGCAGCTACCCAGACCCCTCTGAGCCCCTGCCACATGGGACCGTCTGAGGCAAGTGTCCCGTGAACAGGCTTTGGGGACGGGCTGCAAAATCCCAAGAGAGGTGGTGTTTCTTCTTCATTAAGGTGAAAAAGTTTCCATTATTTTTTTCTGGGTTTTATAGACTTTTTTTACTTCCCTGAAACAGGGTCTTACCATCTAGTTCAGGCTGTCCTTGAACTCACTATGTAGTCCAGCCTGGCCTCAAACTCGAGGAGATACTCCTGCCTCAGCCTCCCGAGTGCTGGGATTACAGGTGTGCGCCACCACGCCTGGTGACTTTATTCTTTTAGAGCAGCAACAATTGAGCAGAAAAGTCAGAGATTCCCCAGATACTCTCTGCCCCTACACACAGCTCCCCACGGTCCACATCCCCCTCCGGAGAGGAAGGCGTGGTACTAGAACGGAGGAATTACATTCTCATCTCATCATAGTCCATAGTCATTAATTTTTAAAGTAGATAAAAGAAATTCCTCTAAATTATGCTGTTCCCAGACTAACTGCAAATGCTAAGTGGTCAACCAGGAATTGCACTCTGTGCTTAGCCAAAGGGAGCTTGTTATCATTCCTACACCCAGCAGCTCTGCCTTCAGGGAGCTAACACTTAAAGATGCTTAATCATCCTTTCGAGAGTTTCACTGGGCTGTTGGCAGAATTTCACCAGGACAGGAATGTGGTTTTCACCGTTGATAGTAACACCAGCTGGCTTTAATGAGCACTTACTACCGGCCCAGGTCTCATCTCACTGAAGTCCGTGACAGCCCAGGGGGAGCTGGCACTGGCCCATGTCACAGACAGCAGACAGAGACTCAGAGAGCACGCTCAGCAGCTGCCAGAGTCTGGGGCTGGGATGCGGCCTCTCGGACGCCAACCCCCTAAAGCCTAGAACCTTCCCGAAGACTTTGAGACGCGCGTGACAGTCACATAAGTGGATGTCTTGTCCTCATCTCCGTCTCCCAAGGGGGACACTGAGAGGTGACTGTGTCTGAAATTCCGCCTGATGTGTCATCCAATACGCACACACACAGTAAAATGTGAGTCTATATGTTTATTCCTGCCATTTCCTTACCCGAAAGGCAGCAGTGTCTTTTCCAAACACCCTTCTGTGCCTTATCGTTCCACTTTCGAACATAGTCCAGAATATTTTCAATCTGAAGCGAGTGCCCTCGTTCTCTTCTTCTGCCAGATCGGTAACTTTCAATTCTGTGAATGAACCAGCTTCTACGCGACACATTGCGGCTGACGCGCTCCATGAGCGATCTCGGTGTCCGTCACTCTACCTACACCGTCCGTGCCCGTCCTCAACACCCCAGCATGTCCCCAACACGTGGCGCCTTGCCAGTCCGACAGAGGAAAGCAGTGGCTCAGTTTGAGTGTCTTTGAATGGATTAAAAAACCTTTGCTCTAAACTACTTGCTCATTTATCTTTTTCCTTACTTTTTTTGCCTATTTTTTTACTAATGAATTTGTTCTTCTCTCACCCATCTTTTGAGGTTTTCCGGCCGTGAGAGAAATCAGTCATTCATCGATGCTGAGTTTCACCCAGTTCACCTAATTTGCCTTTGTGAATGATGTTAATAACTTTTTAAAAACTGGGGGCGGGAAATCCATTCTTTTTTTTATGGAATATTTTCTTCTCTTATGGCTTCCTTTTACACAACAAAATCTTCGATCTTTTTGGAATTTATCCTGACCCATGGTTTTCTAGTAGGTGCTCTTTGACTATTAGTAAACCTTGCTCCTCCTTTCCATTGTTTTTCTTTTGTTTTTTATATGTTTTTTTTTTCTTTGTATAAATGCTGTACTGGTTTCTGTTTTTAATTTTTAGTTTGTTTTTTTTTTTATTTTTTTTTTTTTTTTTTTTTTTTTAATTTTTTGAGACAGGGCCTCACTATATGCAGTCCTCCATGTTGAACTCACTGTCTTACCTGGGCTGGAAACTCACAGCAATCCTCCTGCCTCAGCCTCATGAGTGCTGGGATTGCATGTGGCACCACCACACCACAATTCGTTCCTGGACCATCCACTGCAGAGGGCTGGGGAAGGGACAGGATAGCTCTTCATGTTTCAAAGCCCACACGGTCTCCTCATTTCTGCTGCCGCGTACAGACTGCTTCCTGCCAAAATGGCTGTGCGGTGCTTCTCGGCTTTCCTACATTTCACTGGGCGGGGCGGGGCTGCACTCACAGCTTGCCCATCCCAGCTCCCTGCATTGTGGTTGGAAGCAAGGGCTGTGCTTTGGAGCGAGCCCTTCTTGCCAGGAGTGTATTTTGCGGACGCTTCTGAGGGCAAGGACCCGGCCTGGGTAGCAATGGCCACACTAGACGTATCCGTATCACTTTTCCTTTTCCACCCACTGCCATGGCCTTTTCCCTTGGCACTGCTGTCCATTATCCAGCAGACTGCAGGAATTATTGGACACACCTTCCTCGTCCCAAGAGAAGGTCGTTCAGTCAAGGCCCAAACAGACAGGAGAGGAAGTCGGGGTAATGTGATCCTAAGATGGTCAGAACACTAAAAGTCCCCCCAACCCCGAGCCCCGTGTCGCCTTGGATCTGTCTTTACAGCTTAGGAGACACCTTGAGGTCAAAGCCACACGTGGGCTCTGCTGGCCAGGGAAAACGGCACCTGTGGCCGACCCTGGGGCTGCTCCGCGAATGCCTGGGGAAGGAAGGCGGACGGAGAGCAAGAGCTGCCGGTCCTGGGAGCTGGACACCGCTCCCCGCATGGACGGAGGAAGCTGGAGAGGAAGGTCTGTGAGCCTCATGGTGCTGCGGGCCGGGGTACCCAAGACAGGACAGTGCGGGGCCCACCCCAGGGCCCATGCCCACGGCTCCGCTGCATCGCGCCCCTCCCTGGCCAAGCTGGTGTGTGGGACTCCTATCCCCCGACACCACAGATGCGCGCTGGAGGAAAGGTCTGTAAAGAGGTAACTAGTTTTTCATTCTTTTTTTTTTTTGGCTTTTATCCGCACACGCTCGTGGTACACAGTGTTTGCGTCCTGAGCGTGGAGTTGGCGCACTCCTACACCACACGTCTCAGTCCTCTTTTTCACCCCGTCCCCTTCCTGTCCCTTCTTCCTTCCTCCATCTCTGACCTCCTTTCCATTTGAGAAAGATCTAGTTCCCTACTTCCTGTTACAGCGGCACCTCTGTTCATACCCTTCTACTCGCAAACCGAACTGGGCAAGAACCGGATCAAAGCCGATGGTTAGGTTCAATGTTATGCGGAACTTTGGTCCGGTTCTCATCCAGTTTGGTTTGTGACAAGAATCGTGGGAAGAATTAAGTCCCATATTTTTTTATTTTGCACTTTATTTGTATTTTGAATTTCTCATATAAGAGAAACCATGCGATATTAAGCTATTTCGCTTAACATTATGGTCTCCAGGTGCATCCATTTTCCTACAGGTGACTCCAGTTTATCTTTAGAGCAGAGTAGTACTCCGCTGTGTCCATACCACATTTTCAAGATGTAGCTGTTGTGAACTGTGCTGCTATAAACATGCGTGTGCACGGATCACTGTAATACAATGTCTAACTCTCTCGGGAAGACACCTAGAAGGGGAAGGACTGGGCCAAATGAAGTTTTCAGTTTTAGTTTTTAGAAGAACCTCCCTCCTGATTCCCATAAGGACTGCACTACTTTACATTCTCACCAACAAATGTAAAGGGCTCCTCCCCCACCACAAAACCTCACCAGTATCTGTTATTATTTGATTTCATGGTGACTGACGGCCATTCTTTCTGAGGTAGGGTGCAGTCTCAGTGTTGTTTTAATTTGCATTTTAAAGAGACACCTAAGTTAAGGGGGAATCCTTAAGATGGGCCCTAATCCAGTATGGCTGGTGTCCTCACAGAAGAAGAGGACAGATGGAAGTAGATAGGTACCGAGGGAAGACAACGTGAAGTCACTCGAGAAGGCAGCCATAGACAAGCCGAGGAGGGCGCCCTGGGCTAGATCCTCTCTCCCAGCCCTGCCCACACCTCAGACTCCCAGCCTCCAGAACCAGGAGACAGTGCGTTCCTGTTGTTGCAGTTGCCTAACTTGAGGTTCCTTATCACCGCACCCCAGCAAACCAATGCAGTCATCCTGAGGAGGCTCCAGAGCAGGTGACTTCCAATCGAGGTCACAGAAGACTGGCCACTGCCTGTGCACAGCCCTAGGGATCTGCGACCACCAACTCAGGTGTCCTCCTCACCGACAAAGTGACACATCCCCACCTAGCCCTACCAGGCCCATCGTGCCCTCCCCATACTGTCTCTCGCCCCTCCAGACAGCACTTGGTGCATCCAGGTTTACAGCCCAGGCACGAAGTCACCCCTGGTCAGCACAGCCCACCAGGATCCCCACCTGGGTGCTACAGGGTAAACCGTAATACATAAGGTGCCCTAAACCCTCTTCCACCAGCCAAGATGTAGAGCTGCCCCCAACTTTGGACGTGAAGTCCAGTACCCCAGACCTCCCACCTCCCAAGGAGCACTGAGTCTTGGTGTCTGATTCAAGCCCCACTTGCATGGAGCTCTACCACCCTTGGCCAGCTGCTCCCTGCTCTGGGGCACAGCACATCTCTGCTGTTCCACAGGAAGTGTCGGGGGAAGAACCTTATCTCCTAGATCTGCCGGGCCAGAGGCCCAATCCTACTTCCCTCTGTGTGAAATGGGCACTTGGCTGGTTAACCTTGATCATCGACTTGACTGGCTGGAAAGACACCTGCGAGGTGTCTTGAGCAGCGTCTTAGTTTATATTTAGTCCCTGGCTCTTCCTCTGGTCCTCTTTACCTGTCCTCTGTTCCCTGACCACCATGAACCGAGCAGCTTTTCTCCACCATGCCCTTCAGCCATGATGCTTCTGTCTTGGAGTCAGGCAACCACAAACTGAGTCCCCTGAAACCGTACGCCATGTGCCTTTAAGTTGTAGGTGTTGGGTATTTTGTCTCAGCAGCAAAAAAGGTGACTATCACAAGGCCTCAGCGAATTTTTGCTGACTGACTCTTCTACCTCAGGGAAGAGGAAGGGGAACCAGACCCTTGATAAGCCATGGCCTCACTCATCAAGGAACTGTCCCCAGTTGGCAGTGAAACTCAGAAATCATGATTCTAAAACTACATACACTCCTTTCAGGCTATGGATTTGTCACATTCCCAGCCAGCAGAAAAGCACCTTAGAGCAGACAACATCCGGCAGTCAGTCCTCAGGTGGCTCGCACCTGTCGGGCACCCTCTTGTTTTAGGGCGCCCATCTCCATCACCTGTCTGCTTCACTCAGGACAAAGTCTAACACTCACCCCTTGGAGTCATTGGTTCATCCAATGACTATTTCTTAGGTGCCTGTGTTTGTGCCTGCTACTGTCCCAGCCACTGATGACACACTGAGAAAGCAGAATAGGCCAAAGTCGGCCCCAGTTCACTAAAAGTGATCTGTGTGCCAGAACCTGTGCCAGGGCCTGCCCGTGTGAGGAGAGACAAGGCAGGAGGGCCCAGGAGTGCTGTCTTCCTAAAGGGACAAGAGCGAGCAAACCACTCAGCCAACGAAGTGTGTGTCAATGTGACCACAGGCCCAGTGCACGCCAGCAGCTCAGCTAATAGTGAGATGTGGGGTGTCACAACTGTAGCACAAGTACATGTGTCCCAAATTCACACTCCACGCTAACCCCTCGTGTGACGGCCTCTGGACTAGGTGTTGGGAAGTGAGTAGGAAATAAAGGTGGAGCCCTTATGAGTGGACTATTGAGGAGAGCCAAGGGAGCTCCTTTGCCCCATCTGCTCTGGGAGGACCCAGCAAGGAGACAGCTGTCTGTGACCCAGGAAGCCGCCCTCCCTCGGCACCGACTGCAGCTTGATCTCCCCAGACCCCTCCACTCCAGAACTGTAGCAAGTGTCTGTGGTTTGTAAGCCACGTAGTCTACGGTCTTGCAGTTGGACTGATTTGCTATGAGAACACACTCTGGAGAGAACAGCGCCAGGCTTGCACCCGGCTCTGTACCTAGCACGTCTTCCCGCCTTCATTCACAGCGCTGCTGCGGTGACAGAGGAGATGGGTCAGGAGGAGGTGGGGCCCACGGTGACTGCCTGTGACCTCGGGGACAGCCCCTGCACAACCTGACAGGGCCACAGGCAACAGCTCCGCAGGGCTCCACCCGGCCTGCTCCACCCTGGTCCCCCAGCCGCTGAGCCACCAGGGACTGGTTTCTCAGGAATCCGCCTCCAATATTCAGATGCCCAAGGACATTCCACTGAGGGAGCAGGGAGCCCTTTCCACCCCAGATCCAAGTGGGCCCAGCCAAGAGCACACGCTGCCCACTCCAGTCAAATGCACAGCTCCAGGCCCAGGGTAGATCTCACCTGGGAGGCCGGCTTCACATCAAAGCAGATTTGTGTCTGGTCATTGTCCTTTCAACAGATATCGGCCCCGCCCCAAAGTAGGGGTGCTGCTGGGCTAGGGTAGCAAGACGGCAGCATGTTGCTGTGCTTTGGCTCACCCTAGTTCCTTCATCCATCTTATGGGTTCCACCACCACCACCCTTCCCCATCTGCTGGCCCCTTCCTAGAGAGCTAATTTCAGCCCTTAAGGCCACAGTTAGGGCCGTCTCCTGGCCACCACCCCCGATCTTGACGCCCCTGTGTCGTGTGCTTGGCCTCCTATGTGGTAACCCCGGGCCTTCCTGCCTGCCGCCTTCACTAGACTGATCTTCTTATGGCCTTTTCTCTCATGTATACGTTGCCAACACAGTGCTGTGAAATGTAGCTAAAACTTGATAAATAAGGGTGGAATGGTTATTTTCAATGCAGCTTCCCAGTTACAAATTCAGGGGGGAAAAAGCTGAGTCTCGAAAACTTTTTCCACAAAAGCGAGAGGCCTCGATACCTGTTTCGAAAATATTCAGCCAAAATTATTGGAAGACTGTGGGTATAAAATACCCCACAATGCAAAGCAGCAGGGTTGCTATTATAACTGATGTTAATGACGATGATGAGAAGACAATATTTAAATGTGCTTAAAAGTGGGTGTGGGAGGTCAAAAGACTGACTTGACTTTCAGCTGTGACTTTTAAGCCAGTGCTTTGGTCTTGAACAATCCCTGTGGCCTCCAGCAGCGAGGTAATCTATATAGCGGCCATGGGCTTTACCTGTCACTCTGGGGCTGACATGCGACTCCTCTGGAGATGCTCTGCAAGCCCAGAGCCTCCCATATACCTGCCTTCCTCAGTCAAGCAGCAGTCGAATTCAACTTCCAGCCAAGTCAACAGTAGGCCCCCAATGCTGGGCACTGAGAAAGCATCTGTGCAAACACCCCATTCCTCTTCCAGCACTGATCCTCTCCCCTGCCCTATGCAAGACACATGGCCGGGGCAGATCCCACCATGAAGCTAAAACAGCCAGAAAAGGTCACTAGCATCGCCAGTACTCCGTCACTGGACATCCTTTGGCTCATCCAAACCTGGGTCACCATGAGGGCTACGTGCCAATGACCCAGTCAGCTGGCCTGATGCACTGAGGACAATAAAGACGGGCTCTTAGCAGGCTGCAAACAGTGACCACAGCCTTGGCCATGCCCCGCTGAGCTAAATGCCTTGGCTCCTCCCGGTGACTCACTGGAGAAAGTAGCGACACAGTACCGTCACCCCACAGACCAAACTGTGGGGCATTCGGCGATGGGAGCCTGGCTTCTTCACCCTACTCTTCCTCCCACTCCCTCCACTTAAAAGCTGGGGCGGAGCTGAAGTCTGAGACACCTAGGGACGGACATGTGACCCGCCCTGCCCACCAGGGGGCGCCATGGCTGACTCTG